TATTAATTCGTTTTTTTTTTGTCTTTCTAGTAATCGGATATCGATAAAAGAAACGAAACGTTTATTCTTTAGTTTATGTTTAAGTTTATAGAATATTTGTAAATATACGTACGTTGTGATAAATAAATTAATAAAAATAATAAAACGTTAAATATTTTGGTTACATATATTAATGAGTAATGTATAAAATGATAAAAAAATGTTCTTATCCAAGAAAACAAATAAATCGGATATACGACGTAACGTTAATTCTTCAAATTTTAGAGATCTTAGGAAGTCGAGGATAGGATATATCGACACTTATGGTTAGCTTATTAAATAAATAAATCGTCTATCTGTATTTCGTTAATGATTATAGTCTCATTTGGATAATTCTTATTCTTTATTCTTTATTAGCTTGTTAGGACGAAAATCCAAAAAAAAAAGATCGAAATTATTCAGGTTAACGAATTGCTCAACTTATTGGATATTAAAATTAAGATATCGAAGGCATCGGATATTTATCTATTCTGGGTTAGATCCTCTAATCTATAATAAAGTATTTTTCCGATGAAGTGATCTTGAGGATTCTTAATTGTAAGACTATCAGCTTGATAATTTCTATGCAACGGTTATCCAGCAAACTTATAGGAATTACAAGAAGAGACCCGAATCTTTGGTAAAAAAGTTTGGAAGGCGGCGAGGAATGATATGACTCCTGATAGATGGAAATATTTAAGTATTATTCCTTAACAGGGATCTGCTAGCAATATTTATGGAAGGTTCTTCGTTTTAATTAAAAAATTTCCGAATCCTATCACAGGTTAGTTAGATTTATTATTATATGATGATACGGTGTGATCGTTTACTAAGGATAACCTGAATGAGCAAGTTGTTTTTTAGTTTGTTGCCAGTAAATATTTACACGTAGTAGAGGGGTGTGTGATTTTTGTATAATATTATGCTAACGATTTCTATTTATAATCTCGCCTTGCCCTTATCCTAATCATATTTTCACTATTCGGGAATGGCAGGCGGTTACACGTGAGAATCGTTTTATCCTCTTTACGAATTAAGTGATTCAGAAATTGGCCGAATGGTTTCTCGAATCTTTAATGATATGTAAGCTTTCATCCTATAACATGCATAAATTAAGATCACTACTTCTCAACTTTGTTTTCATGTAACTCTTTTTATGTATAATAGGTTCTTGATGTTTCCCTAACTAAAACATCACTCATTCAAGTTACTACATCCGATCATTCGTCCATTATTTTTTACTAGTTCATTCAAAGAATATGATATCCGATTGAATCGTGCTACAAACGGTACCCCAACAAGGCCAGATTTTTCGTGCTTGGTTAATTAAATTTCAATTTTGAATTCGGAAATTAGGTCACCCGGATTTACACCTCTTCAATAACAAAAAGATAAGTCAAAAGTACAGTTGCGAGGGCGTAAGTCGATCAATCAGTTGTTAATAACGAAAGGTGGTCCAAAAGAAACGGTGTTGTTAACTAATTAAGGTATTTATAAATCGGGATTTCACTTTAATTAATTAAGTATATTAAACTATATCTGATATTTTCAAGAGATTTAGTCGAACCGTATGTTATATGGACTTTACCAAAGATAGAACCACAATTCCTTTGCTGGAGTCGAACATTCAGTACTTTGTTGGCACTAGAGGTACAATCGTCACATAAAGTAATACCTGATTTTTATATGATTTATATAAGAAAATCGAGCGTTACTTTTTCGGGTGACTATACATATATACTATATATTAAATTTTTGAGTTTGCAATGAAACAATTAATAACATTTTGCTTTTATATGTTGCGTTGTTAGGAATGCATCAGTAAAATTGCTGAGAACTACAATTGTCGAACTTGTCAAAGTGCAAATACAGTATATGCGAGAATTACCGGGTAGTCCGCAAAGAAAAAAGTTACTTAACTTGATTAGGTTAAAATTGCATGTAATCTTTATGCGCAATAACTATGTAATAATAGAAAAAAATATATCTATTCAATCCTCAATTTCTGGAATCCTGTATGCACATAATATATCACACAAATTTTATCAGAGTGTTTCAACACATTCATCCGTAACGCATGCACTGTATAATATCGCAAAAAACATTTAAAGTTTCAAGTTTACTCAATTCTCGAGGATGCTCAGGAATAACTACATCCTGACTGCATGGGTCTTCGTAATACCAAACATATCTTAGGGCAATGCAATTTTCTTTGCATGATTCTTTCTTGGGTTGATTCCGCTCTTGCTGTTTAATGAAATTATTAGGATCGCCTCTACGAAAGAATTCAATATATCTTTCGTGCTGTTCTCCTTGTACTTTGGTTGCAAATCCATATTGTGAGTAATTGATGTCAAATTCTAATCCAGTGGTTGGTGTTTTCTCAAAGGTTATTATGTACTTATAAAAATAGTAAATATAGTATATGCTGCATACTGCATATTTTATTTGATTGTTAAGAAGAATCAAATACCAAATAAAGTATAATACTGTATGTGTTTTTAATAAACAAATCGAGACTTTTCAATTACTGGACAGTATATGCGAAACCATATTTTATTATATACTAATTGAAGAATTTTTATGATTTGCTATTTTTGGGCTTATAAGTAAATTTACTGATTACAAAAAATAAATATACAAGATTGAATTTTTACAAAAAAGTTTTTTATCGACCAATTCACTCATTTCTGCGCTTAACCTTAATCTTCAAATCTAAACATTTTTGTATAAGGGTATATGAAACTTTCAAAGGAGCGTTTGCGTCAACTAGTTCAATGTCATAATTCTTATACAACAACGCGATTAAACACTTCATCTCTGTCATGGCGACCTTTTGACCTGGACAATATCTTAAACCCGTTCCGAATTGTAAGAAGGTGTTTTTATTTATAGCTCCCACATTTTCTGGCAAAAATCTATCGGGATTAAATTGATCCGGATTTTCCCAATATTCGGGTTTCTTGTGTATACGACCGATTGACATTGAGAATTGAGTTTTTGGACCCCAAGAGCGGTTTGCTATCACATCAGCGTTCGTGCTTTGCCGATCAAGAAATGGTGCTACGGTATCAATCCTTGCCGTCTCCTTTATGACGGCCTCGCAATAAACAAGCTTTTGGATGTCTTCATAGGTCAAGGAAAAGTTTGTCATATTTGCACCAAAGACCGTGTCAAGTTCTTCGAGTAAGCGTCTTCGTACTTCAGGATGACGTGACAGGTGATACACAATAAAACAAATTGTATTTGCAGTCTACGATTGTAAAGTCGTCACAATGGAAATATTAAGAGCAGGCGCATAAATGAGAAAGAAAGAAAGTGGACAGAGATTCCAAGGAGCACCTACCGTTTCAATCCCACCGACAAAAGCTTCGGTCAAATTGACGACAATCTCTTCATCGCTCAAGGGCCTTTGCTCATTTTCTAATTTTTTCTCCATATTCTTCTTTACCACATAAATGTCCCTCTTTGTGTTCGCGGTAATCATCATAGTTAACATGTCGTAATTTAATTCTTCACCATCCGGGATTTCTTCAATCTCCTTTCTTCTTTTTTTAATGAACTCGGTCAATTTTTCAAATAACCATTCCTTCTTTTTAATCATCTTCTTTTGCTTGTTTCTTAGGAATGGAATCGCACGTAGAAATTTCGGAAAAAGACAGAAAAAATTAACGGCAACCAAATACGAATTAATGCAGGATAACAACTTTTCCGATTCCTCAATGAACTCGGGCGAAACATTTAGTAAATATTTTTGGTTTTCCGGAGATTTTTCGTGAGCAATGTTCGTAGAAGAAAAGATGGAAGAATAATAGGACGCCAAAGAATAATACCTTTTTCCAGTAGTGATGTGAAAGATGAAATCAGTATTGAATCGATGAACCCAATCAACTAGTTGAATCACACCATCATTCCCATCAAAGGATTTCCAATATTCATCCAACTCCTGAAAGTGAAGTTTAGTTAGGTCCACAACTTGTTTCAAGAACTTTGGCACCAAAAGAGCTTGCGCGAATATGCTCCGGTTAAACTTCCAACTTTTTACATCATGATTTATGAGGATCCCTTTTCCAAAGATGCCAAGTTCCTTGAGTCCCTCAACCGGCGGAAATCTAACCTTGTAGTTACTCTTATTAAAAGATTGTGTCGTCATCGGCTCGGTGAAATTTATGTCGGACAAGATGATGATTCTTATGTCGCCATACCAAACCTCGAAAATATCACCATGTTTTTTGTGTTGTTCAATGGAATACCGGTAAAAATTAAACCCATCAAGAAAAAGGCAACCAACCAGGGGGAGAGGAAATGGTCCTGGGAGTGGATTAGGACGAGTAAAATAGATGTAGTAATAGCGGAGTACAAGGTATGATAGGTAAAAAGTTACGGAGGATAAAAGGAAGATGAAGATATCGTAAAGTGCAAATGAGTTTGAATCGATGATCATTTTGACCGCTTGCGGGAAAAGGTTTTTGAGAACGATAGCGTATTTTTATGCATCTACTTGTGTCTTGTGACACAAAATATATTTACGTAATAAAAATCGATTAGAAGCTTTATGAGTAACTCCGCCTTCCCAACTTTCATTTCTCAGTAATTTTGTTTATGATGTAAGTAGGCAAATAATCACTGGCATTTTCATTGACGTTGCTTAATCAACGATCTCAAATTGGGTTCACTCGAATAGTATTAAATTTGTTTCCTAACATCACCAAAGCATCTTTATCACCCGATTACGATCGCTGTTGTGGAATTTACAAATTTTCCGAAGGCGAGTCATGTGGAATTGAGGAAATTGACAACCAATGGTCAATGTCGTACATAAAAACATTAAATGTGACAATTGTTAATTTTTTTTATTCGACTGACGAATTTAAAATTACATCGTATTATTAACTATTATTTCGTCGATCATATTGAACACAAGGATCGTAACCGACGGTAATTGATAAACGTCATTACGATGCGATGGATGGATGGATGATATAGTGATACGCTGACGAAGTAACTACGTACTATCAAGCTATGATCATGTGAAGTTGATACACCATTTTTATCATACTCAGAAATTATGAACGGATTTCTTCATCTTGCGTTGACAAAAAAATGCCAAATCTTGACGAACTACAAAATCGTACCCTCAGGTTCACATTCATAGCGATAATCATACTCCTTTTTTTCACAGGATTTTTTGCTTTCTTTCTTCTCTTGTTGGAACAAGCGCGCATGGTGATCTTTTTGCCAAGATATTTTTTTGAAACACACGTGAGTATCTGACGTGTAAATCTTATTCAAGTGCTATACGAATGTTTGGTCACATTTACATTTAATTAATTTTTTCTTTCATCAGAAACCCAGGTATCAACTTTGACTGCATGTCGAACGTTACGCTTTGTTCGCAAGAACGATACAAATGTAACACAAATCTATTTTTCGCTTTCTCTCATCATATTTTCGCGCCAAATTATTTCCAGGATTTTTAACCTGCAAACTAATTTTCCACTTACAGATCATCATCCTGGGCAGATTGAGTGACACAGGTGTTGCGATTAAATTAAAAATTCTTTTTTTTTTTTTCCCTCCACAATAACTGGTTTGTCCCAAGAGCGTTCATCGATCATTGTCCACATTGTAATATTGTTCACATTGTGAATGTGTTATATAAAAAAATTTTTTTTTGGCCCAGTGACTCGGTGTCAATATCCCAGTCACTCATGATTCCATAATATCCTTGAAATCTCTAAATTTGGGTAGGCATCCATCTATGACCTATTTTTGTCCGGTATTTTCCTTATTGATACACAAAGTATGGATAAACAAACAGAAACTCGGTCATTTTTTTGGTTAATTGAATAAAAGAAAAACACCAATCCTTTAGGTCTCCGAAAACTGAATTTAGAAATTTATTTTTATATGACCAATGATTTCCATACTGATGGATATTGATTAGTATCTTTTTACCGACGAACTGAACTCTATTGTGTAGTTTGGGACAAAAGTGGTGAAGTAGGAGGCGTTTCCTATCTTCTTTTGTCTTCTTTACGGCCAACTCACCTCATCTAGATTCCTTGCCGAGCCCCTTCTATTCCAGAAAAACAAAAGGTTTTTCGTTACTTTTATAGTGAAAATCCTATGGGTCAATTCAGGCATTGACATTAATTAATTTCGTGTTACTGGGCCCTGCCTTTATATGTAAAGAATTTATATTACAGGTACAGGCCAATGTAGTAATTGTTACTTTGCATTTTTATGTTCAATTTATGTTTTGTTGATCTACATGGTTTACAGTTTAGCGACGGACCGTGAAACCCACTTTCTACCTTGTTCGGAATTTGATATATAACCATCTTTACTCTATTTTTTTTTTTTTTTCCTCTTTTTGTCTTTCGATTGATCTCTCTTCCTGTCTAGCATCCTGGATGAACGTTGACTTTCTCAATTTCCTCACCACCTAAATATCCATTTTTTTCCTGAAAATTTCCTCGTAGCCTGAAATCCCAAGAATGTTTCCACCATCCTCACCGCCATCACACCTGTACATTCCCCCAGACGTCATCGAGGAAATCCTACAATATCTCAAAGACGATGTCTCATCGCTTCACACTTGCATTCTACTAAATAGACTTTGGTGTGTGTTAACCATTCCTTACTTGTGGTATAATCCCTTCAAAACTATAAATCACAGAATAACGGGGAGAAGGAACGAGATCCCAAGGAATAGATTGTTGAATAGGAATTGCGGAATTTCGATCATAAGACAAATTGTTTCCCGTCTTGGGGATGACGAGAAGAGAGCGTTAGAAGACTTACTGGATGTGACGTTGGGCGAAGAGAATTGTGCAAAGTTTGATTATCCAAGATTTATAAAAGTTCTGGATTATGAGAAGATTCAGTGGTCGATCATTCGATGGATCGAGCATGTCGTTGATCGTGATGGCAAAGGGGAAATTGATGCGGACCGTCGTTTGTCGGCATTCGAGAAGCGAGAGGAAATCTTAAAAATAATCACCGGTGTTCTGTTCAATAGGGGTAGCGCATTTCGTGATATAAACATTACCTACAATCCCAACTTTTATTGCAACTCGCAATACCCTTCCTTGATCGACCTGCAATCCCTTGATAACGTTGATTCCAAATTCTACCAAAACGACACTTTATCCATGCTTCAGAAATTCTCCCTTGTTCACTATTCCAATTCGATTTCGCCGTCGTCAAACTTGCTGAATACCCGGAAAATCTTAAATAATCTAACTACCATATCCAAACATTCTCACAAACTCGATTACCTCAATCTACAGATTCACAATGAAACCAAAACCGCAAATCTCTGGGATTATGTTCAAGCATTTTGTGAGGTGATTAAGGTGCAACAAAAATTAAGAGTCTTGGAAGTGAACGATTTCTTCTTGGATGACGACAGTAGCGAGACTGCCAGCTCCGTGTCAGACGACGAGGACGATTCCATGTTGGATGAGATTTCCTCATCAGAATTGTTGATAGAAACGTTTAGGACAAGCCAGTTGCCCAAAAGTTTGAGATATCTGAAGATCAAGGAATTGTCTTTGTCGAATTTTGAATTTTTATTGGAGATTTTGTCGATCTGCAAAAATCTAGAGACGCTGGAACTTTGTGACATGTTTCCACCACAATCCAATCACTCCAATGTGTCTCCCCTGACTTACGATTTTTTCTATCCCACCTCAAACTCGCAACCGCCCACTCCTCAGATCTCCCTTAAAAATCTAATCATTCTCTCCAACACTCCCTCGAAATCACGGTTTACCTTGTCGGCCATAATGACGCTCTTGCAATTGACCAATCACTCTTTGACCTCGTTTACACTCCTCCAAGATATCTCGTGCTCGAATTCGACTGAGATTTATCACACGCTCTCGATACTCTGCCCCAATTTAACCCAGCTAACATTATTACTATCGCCATCCACCTCGTTCCAAGATTCATTACTTAGTCTACTCTCCACCCTAAAAAATCTAGTTAATCTTACCATATTAACGCAGCATCTTCATTATAATTGCACTCATACTCTTCATAATCTTAATTCATCAAATTCAACCCGACTTGCCCATCGCAATGATCCCTTGCCGACTTTTTTGACCACGAGTTGCACGAATCGTTCTCACAGTGATGCCTTCCGACCTCACAGCAACAATTTTACCACCAACTCATATCTGTGTCAATACTTCTCGTCTCCTATTTACACGAATATCCACAACCTCTCCCAATCTCTACCAAAGTCGTTGAGGCAATTTACCTTTGATTTTTTCATGAACACGAAAAGTTTCAAGCTATTCTTTGAACAGTGCGGAAGTGATCGATTAAGCGTGGTCGGCATGTTGAACAAGAATATGATTTGTGATGAGTATCTGGAGATACTGAGCGGTTATTCCGAAGTGAGAGAATGCATGTTGGAATTAAGATGCCGAAGAGGTGGAATTCTACTGGACGGATCGAACAATAATTTCCATCTTTCCCACCGAAAGAGCGGTGGCGTGACGGGCAAAGATTGGGGTTGTAGATTTTCAAAAGTTGGCATAGAGAAAGTGAAAAATAATTTGCGAATCGTAGATCTTTTTTGAAAAAGAAAAAAAAAAAAATCTTTTTTTTTTATTATTATTCTTTTCTTTCCCTAAGCTTTTTCTTGTACATCTATGTAAATTTTAGAATAAATTCTTTTTTTTTTTCTTTTTTTTAAGAACACTATACTATGAAAATTTAATTTATCACATACACTTTTAAGCGATCACATATGCATTTTCAACACTCTAACGTACATAAAAAACATCAATATTAATAATTTTTAATTATCATCATAGATCTCGAGCGAATTTTTCACGCTCTTGTTAATAACGACCCTTTGGGATTTTCAATAGACACCCTTTACCCGACCATTTAGAATGTAGATTTAAATGACGCTGCGGACGATCGCGATGTACGTCCGGGCGAATTTTTAGTTAAACAAATATAGAAACAGCTTAGTCTTTTTTTGGTATACCATTTACCCATAGATTAGATTAATAATAGCATCTTTCATAAATAAAAATAAATGACAAAATACCCATGTTTATAGCGATATAGAGGTCCGTTTACAGTATAACGGTACGCCGTAAAATTCATTTTGGTAAAATCGTTGCGAATATTTGAAGGAAAAAAAAAAAAAGGTACAATATATGCGCAACAATAAACGGATTGACCCGATGGCTACGAACCATATCACGAAAACAAAGGATGACAATATCGTGTCGAGGTCGGCGACGAGCTTTGTTAGATGAAAATATCGTTAAAGAATGCGTTCAACAAGAAAAAAAAAATACAGCACTATTATTATTAAAACAAATTATTTAAAATAAATGGAAATTACAATCATTTCTTTATTCTTTATTAAATTCATTATTCTTGTGATATTTTACATGTATGCATCCGATAACTTGTTTGATGATTATTATCATTTTTGTTTGTAAAAACCTTATTCGTGGTGTTATATTGGTATTTGAAATACTATATATAGAATTTTTCTGCAAGCATGATGAATCATGTGAGAATGAACAAATGATCATGTCAATTGTGGAATGCTGCATTTACAGTATATTGCGGACAGATCAATTCTTTAGTTTATTAACGTTAATGAAACAATCAATTATTTGCCCCACACATTATTTACCTTTATTAGTGTTTGATCTTATTTGGTTCATTAATTAACGCCATCTTTTTTTGGAAAGTGATATTTAAAACAACAAAATATATCTAATTTCGTTTACAACTTACAGAATATTTTAAAAAAAAAATTTTATATTTTGAGTTTTGAAGTGTTTAAATATAATAAAATAAATATATTGATTTTTTTTTTATAATTGAAACTCATATAATTATAAAAATTTGTTACTTTAATTATGTATGTTGTATCTAATTAATTAAATCAATATTTAAAATTAATTAAATTAAATAAAGATAAAACCTTTTGTTTTTTTTTTTGATAATTATAAAATTGAAACAGATCAAAATAAAAAAGATTATATAATAATAAATCTCTAATTCAATTATAATAAAAATCCTATAATTTAATTCAAACTGATATAATAAGTATTATAATATAATTTCAAACCAATATATTTTAATATATATAGATTAAATAAAATAAAATTATTGATTAGAAGTAATAAAAAAATTAAATAAAAATTATTAAGTCAAGTAGGTTTAATAAGTATTAATACAAAATTAAATTAAAACTTAAGCAAGAATAATAAGATCACAAGTAACAAAAATAATTATATTACATCATATTAATAATTTATTTTAAGGATTACTAATATAAATGATTAAAATAATTAAAACTGATCTTTATAATAATATTTTATAAAATTCTTTTTATAAGCAAATAGTTGAGATTAAATTTTAGATTAAGTAATTTTAAACTAGTAATAAAAATTTTATCTTTAAAAAATAGATTTTATTTGAAATGTAAATCTTCTGTAGAAAGCAAATTTATACAATTGGATATATTAAATAATAAATAGATAAACTAGTATTAAAAATAATTATTAAATAATGATCTATGGATCTATAGCACAGTGGTAATGCTCCATAGGTCACCAGGAGAAGGTCTAGAGTTCAACCCTACCTGGTTACAAAAAATTTATCACCTTCATGATTGGTTGACCGGCTTCCAACTCATGTCGTACCCAATCAGCCGACAAAAATTCATCTCCAAATTTAGTTAAGCTGCATGAAGATGGGACCTCTGGTCTTCCCGACGATCGCGGGCTGAAAACAGGTCGAAGCAAGAAAGGTTGCACGAGG